TAAATCTATTCACCACACAAGTTCAAATCGTTATGACTATTTGAACAACAAATTATTATAACTTTTTGTTTTGTCATAAAATAATTATTTATGTTCATACAAGCTTATTCAAATTAAAATAATAGTAATTTATTAGTATTTTGACAATTAACAATCAAAAGATTTAAAACATAAATATGTTTACCAAACAATTTCAAATAGTCATGACTATTTGAATAATTATCCATTTCAAATCATTGTGACCTTTTGTTTTGTAATAAAATAATTATTTCAGTTAACATAAGCTTATTTAAAGCAAAATAATACTAATTTATTAATATTCCAAAAATTAATGAGTAAGAGAACTAGAAAAATGAATCTATTTACTGAATAAGTTCAAAGAGTTATGACTATCTAAACAATTATCTATTTAAAAACATTATGACCTTTTTTTTGTCAGAAAACAATTGGTTTTGTTCATCCAAGCTTATTTCGAACAAAATAATATAAATTAATTAATATTCCAAAAGTTAATAAACAAAAATTTGAAAAATGAATTTTTTTACTGAACATGTTCAAATAGTTATGACTATTTGAATAATTATTTATTTCAAATCGTTACGACCATTTGTTTTTTCATAAATGAATTGTTTCTATTCGTAAAAGCTTATCTAAAATAAGATAATTCTAATTTATTAATATTCCAAAAATTAGTAAGCAAGAGATTTAAAAAATGAATTTGTTTACTGAACAAGTTCAAATAATTATGATTGTTTGAACAATTATCTATATCAAATTGCTATAACTTTTTGTTTTGTTATAAAACAATTTTTTTATTCATACAAGTTATTTTAAATAAAATAATACAAATTTTTTAATATTCCAAAAATTAATGAGTGAAAAAAAAAGTTTTTTGAACACATTCAAATAGTTATAAATATTTGATCAATTATCTATTTCAAATAGTTATGATCTTTTATTTTGTCAAAAACCAATTGTTTCTGTTCATACAAGCATATTTGAAATAAAATAATACTAGTTTATTAATATTCCAAAAATTGATAATTAAAATATTTAAAAAATAAATTTGTTTACAGAGCAACTTCAAATAGTTATGACTATTTGAACAATTGTTTATTTAAAATAGTTATGATCTTTTGTTTTGTCATAAAACAATTGTTTCTATTCATACAAGTTTATTGGGAATAAAAAAAATACTAATTTATTAATATTCTGAAAATTAATAGGTAGGAGATTTAAGAAATAAATTTGTTTACTAAACAAGTTCAAATAGTTATGTCCATTTGAAGAATTATCTATTTGAAATCATTATGACCTTTTGTTTTGTCATAAAACAATTGTTTCTATTTGTGCAAAATTATTTAGAATAAAATAATACTAATCTATTAATATTTTGAAAATTAATAAGAGATTTAAAAACTAAATTTGTTTATGGAAATAGTTCCAACATTTATGATTATTTAAACAATTATTTATCTCAAATAATTATGATCTTTATTTTTTCATAAAATAATTGTTTCTTTTTATATAAGCTTATTCATATTAAAATAATATTAATTTAATAATATTTCAAAAATTAATAAAAGATTTAAAAAATAAATGTGTTTGTCGAACCAATTCAAATAGTTAAGACTATTAGAGCAATTATTTATTTCAAATTGTTCTGACCTTTTGTTTAGTCAAAAAATAATTATTTCAGTTCATACAAGCTTATTCAAAATAAAATAATAGCAATTTATTAACATTTGAAAAATTATGAGTAAGAGATTTAAAAAAATGTTTATTAAACAAGTTGAAATAGATTTGACTATTTAAACAATTATCTATTTAAAGTCATTATGACCTTTTGTTTTGTCATAAAACATTTGTTTCAGTTCAAAAAACCTTATCCGAAATCAAATAATACTACTTCACTAATATTTTGAAAACTAGTAAGCAAGAGATTTAAAAACTAAAGCTGTTTTTCGCACCAATTCAAATAGTTATGACTATTTGAAGTAATATCAATCTTAAATAGTTATGATGCTTATTTTCTCATAAAACAATTGTTTCTAATCATACAAGGTTTTTTAGATAAAAATAATATTAATTTAATAATATTCCAAAACTTAATAAGAGATTTAAAAAAAAATATATTTGTCAAACCAGTTCAAATAGTTAAGACAACTAGAATAATGATCTATTTCAAATCGTTTTGACCTTTGGTTTAGTCATATAATAAATGCTTCAGTTTATACAAGCTTAATCGGAATAAAATAATATTAATTTATTAATATTCAAAAAATTAATAAGCAAAAGATTTGAAAAATTAAATCTATTTACTTAATAAGTTTAAATAGTTATGGCTATTTGAACAATTATCTATTTAAAATCGTTATGACCTTTTATTTTGTCATAAAATCATTGCTTTAGTTCATAAAAGCTTATCCAAAATAAAATAACACTATTTTATTAATATTTCAAAAATTAATAAGAGATTTAAAAAATAAATCAATTTACCAAAATAGTTCAAATAATTATGGCCATTTGAATAGCTACCTATTTCAAATCGTTATTGCTTTTTGTTTTATCTTAAAACAATTGTTTTTCAATATACAATCTTATTTGAAATAAAATAATACTAATTTATTTATATTTCATTAATTAATAAGAGATTTAAAAAATAAATCTATTTACCGAACTAGTTTAAATAGTTATGACTATTTGAACAATTATCTATTTCAAATTGTTATAACCTATTATTCTATCATAAAATAATTATTTCTGTTTATAAAGACTTATTTAGAATAAAATAATACTAATTTAGTAATATTCATAAAATTAATAAGTAACAAAATTAAAAATAAATCGGTTTACCCAATTAGTTCAAATAGTTAAGACTATATAAACAATTATTTATTTCAAATTGTTATGACCTTTTGCTTTGTTATAAAATAATTATTTCAGCTCATATAAGCTTATCCCAAAAAAATAATATTACTTTATTAATATTTCAAAAGTTAATAAGGGATTTAAAAAATAAATCAGTTTACTGAAATAGTTCAAATAAGTATGGCATTTGAACCCCGTATTCCATGTCAACCATTTTATGACCTATAGGACACTTTTCTCATTAACCTTTGTTCCCTACTATTTTGCTTATCATTTTAAATCACCTTCAAAATAATGTGTGTGTCTTTTATGGTCATTGTTATTCCTTCATCATCTTTTGAATTTCAAACAATTATAACACATTGCACATTTCTCTTTTTAATGAAAGGGACGAAGGAAAGATAAACAAAGTGATATTTTATTTTGGTAAAAGGGATAAGTGTTTCATGCGTTATAAAAAAGGATAAAACAAAGACAAAAAGTAATCACATAATAAATATTTAGATCGTCATGAACTAATTCATTATGGATTCTTTTTGAAGACTCGTAATTGGTGCCCTTGACTTTTCGAAAATGTAGCAAACTAAACTAGCCCAAAACCATTGAGATCTTCTAGCACATATTGAGAATTGAGCCACTCCATTCACTATCCCCTTTTATTTTTATCTAAGTTGCCTTTTTAGGTTTTCAACTTAGATATCTTTTAAATTCATTTTGCTTTTTTGTTTTAAGCATAATACTTTTTTACTGCATCGATATTGATTGGATTTGGCAGATCGTCTCCATCCATTCTTGCCAAGATTAGTGCCCCACCAAAAAAAGCTTTTTTCACCATATATGGGTCTTCCCAATTAAGAGTCCATTTTCCTCAAGGATCCTGTTGGTTAGGAAGAATCTTTTCCACTACTAATTCTTCCTTTCAAAATTGTTGTGGGTGAACTTTCTTGTCATGAGCTCACATTATTCTTCTTTGATACAGTTGGCCATGGCAAAGTGCAGCTAATCTTTTTTCTTCAATGAGATTCAATTGTTCATATCGAGCGCGAACCCACTCATATTCTTCTAACTCAACCTCCATGAGAATGCGTAATGAAGGAATTTCAACTTTGATGGGTAACACTGCCACCATCCCATATACCAATGAAAATGGTGTAGCTCCTGTAGATGTGTGTAAGCGTGTAATGCAAATGGTAGCTTTTTCATGCCAATCTTTATACACATCTATCATCTTTTCAATAATTCTTTTTAAGTTTTTATTGGTCGCTTCAACTGCCCCATTCATCTTTGAACGATAAGGTACTGATTTATGGTGTTTGATTTTAAATTGAGCACAGACATCAGTCATCATTTTATTATTCAAATTAAGAGCATTATCCAAAATGATCCTTTTTGGAAGGCCATATTGACATATGATCTCGTTCTTGATGAACTTGCAAACCACCATTCTTGTCACATTAACATATGAAGCTGCCTCTACCGACTTTGTGAAGTAATCAATTACCACTAAAATGAATCGATGTCCATTTGAGGCTTTTAGTGTAATGGGCCCTATCACATCTATTCCCCACATAGAGAAAGGCCAAGGTGTTGACATAACATGCAAGGATGTTAAAGGAACTTGAATTTTGTTTGCATAAATTTGACATTTGTGGCATTTTCTAGCATACTCAATGCAATCTTTTTCCATTGTGAACCAATAATATCCTGCTCTTATTATTTGTTTAGTCATCATACGACAATTTGCATGAGTTTAGTAACTTTTTAGCTTTAGTAGCATTCACACATCTTAATAGTGTTTGGTCTCGATTTCTCTTATATAAAATTTCTCCATCTAGTAAGAAGCTCATTGCCAACCTTCTTAACATTTTCTTATCATTCTTTGATATGTGCTCTAGGTATTATTGATATTTAACATATTGTAATATGTCAAAATACCATGGTTTTCCATCAACTCCTTCCTCAACATTTGACCAGTGAGCTGGTTTCTCTTGCAAGCTCAATTTGATGGGTTGGATTTTAACATTTTCATTTAATTTGAACATTGCTGCCAATGTAGCCAATGCATCGGCCATCTAATTCTCTTCTTGAGGTAAATGATGAAACCAAATATTCTTAAATTCTTTGATCAATTATGATATGTACTTTTGGTATAAAGTTAATTTTGAGTCTCTAGTTTTCCATTCCCCTCGCAATTGATATATGAGTAAGGTAGAGTCTCCATAAACTTTTAAAGCATAGGCCTTTCTTTCAAGAGCAGTTTGAAGACCTAGAACACATACTTCATATTCTACCACATTATTGGTGCAATCAAAATTTAGTTTCGCAGTGATTGGGTAGTAATCTCTTTTTGGAGATATGAAAACTACTTTAATACCATGCCCCAAAGCATTTGATGCACCATCAAAATACATCTTCCATATATCTTCATTATGCTCTTCTTTATCTATGTGCAGTATAGACATTAAGTTTTCATATGGAAAATCAAATGTCACAAGCACATAATCTTCATGAGCGCGTTCTATAAGAAATTCAGCAATAGCACTTCCTTTGATTGCCTTTTGGGACACATAAACAATGTCATATTCAAAAAGTAACACTTGCCATCTTGCTATTCTTCCTGACAATGAAGGTTTTTCAAAAAAGTACTTAATTGGGTCTAAGTTTGCAATGAGCCAAGTAATATGATACAACATGTATTGTCTAAGCCGACGAGCTGTCCAAGCTAATGCACAACACATCTTTTCCAACGGTGAATACTTTGAATCATAATCAGTAAACTTTTTGCTCAGGTAATAAATGGCTTGTTCTTTCCTTCTTGTTTCATCATGTTGCCCCAAAACACATCCCATTGATTTTTCATGCACCGTTAAATACAGGATAAGAGGTTTTCCAGGGATAGGTGGCATCAATATTGGTGGGTTTGATAAGTATTCTTTAACTTTTTCAAACACCGTTTGACAATCTTCATCTTATTCTCATGACCCATATTTTTGAAGAATCTTAAATATGGGATCACATTTAGCTATAAGTTGGGAAATGAAATGAGCAATATAATTCAATCTCCCTAAAATCCCCTTACTTCTTTTTATATGCGTAAAGGTGGTATATCTTAGATGGCATGTATCTTATCTGGATCCACCTCTATTCCTCTTTTACTGACAATAAATCCAAGTAATTTTCTTAAGGTTGCACCAAAAGTGCATTTAGCTAGATTGAGCTTGAACTGAAACTTTTTTAATCTCTTAAATAACTTTCTGAGATTAGTCACATGATGTTTTTCTTCACGTGATTTGGCAATCATGTCATCCACATACACCTCTATTTCTTTGTGCATCATATCATGGAATAGAGTTATCATGGCTCTTTGCTAAGTTGCCCCAGCAATTTTCAAATCGAAGGGCATGACTTTATAGCAAAATGTTCCCTATACTATTACAAAAGTAATCTTTTTCTTATCATCTTATGCCATTTTAATTTGATTATAGCTTGAAAATCCATTCATGAATGAAAATAGAGAATGCCTAGCAGTATTGTCCACTAGAGTGTCAATATGAGGCAATGGAAAATTATCCTTTGGACTTGCTCTATTCAAATCCTGATAATCAATACACATTCTCACTTTGCCATCTTTCTTGGGTACTGGGACAATATTCGCCACCCATTCAAGATTTTTGGCCACTTCTAAGAATCCTGCATCAAATTGCTTTTTCACTTCTTCCTTTATTTTCAACAACATTTTAGGTTTCATCATTCTCAGCTTTTGTTTAATTGGTTTGCACTCAGGCTTCAATGGTAGTGTATGCACTACAATTTTAGTATCCAGCCCTGTCATAACTTGATATGACCAAGCAAACACATCTACATATTCATGTAGTAACTTTATCAGCTCCTGCATTATTGGTGATGACATTGAAGTACCAATCTTAACTTCCTTTTTAGTTTCTTCATCCCCAAATTAACAACTTCAGTGGCTTCTTAATGAGGCATGATTTGCTTATCTTCTTGTTCCACTAATCTTAATAATTTTGGGGATATTGCATGGTCTTCCACATTTTCTTTATCATCGAGTTTGCCAATATAAACAGAAATTTCAAAATCAAATCCTGGAATATTGTCATGATAATCTTCATATTCATTATTTAGATAACTGAAAATAAGTGAAATGGACGAAATGTAGAAAGATGTATAATAATGCAAGGAATTGAAATGAAAGAGGCAAAAGAAATGGACAAATGTGCTACACTTGTCATTTATTCAATTGAAAATGAGGAAACAAACACACATAAGACATTTATTTAGATTTGGTTCAACACAATACTTTGGAGAAAATTTAAAAACAACAGGTAGCTCATCAACATGCCAATTTTTTAATTTTGCACCATGAGGAGTAAGATAAACCCATGGACAGCCTGGATCTTCACTTTCTTTTTCTTTACCCATCATTTGTATTAAAAATTCAGCGAAGATATTTTTCAACGATGGTGTAAACTCTTTCTCTATGGTTCTTGCTACATCTGGATAGATATAGTCAGCTGAGATGAAAGTCTCATAAAGGGGAAGAAAAGATAGGCCTTCAGTCTCTACTTCTTACGCCAAAAAATGAGCCAATCTTTTTCCTCTTTTTTCTCTTATGAACTTCATTCTTCCTTTTCGAGTTGCCTTGTACCCCAGCCCAAAATGATCGTCCTTCTTAAGCATCATCCATGGTCATTGTATTCCCTACAAGTCAGCCCATACTTCTTGTCCTTTCCTTACCACTTCTTTAAGTGCCATTTTGGAAGCTTTGGATAGACATGGAATAGGCACTTTTGATCCTTCACCTATATCGATTGCATTAATGAATTCAAAGGATCTGAAAGAACATTCTGGAGCTTTCTCAGCTACTTTAATATATAACATGATAAAGGGTTTAGTCACCAATAAGTCTTCTTCACTAGCAACAATGACCACTTTTTCATCAATTATGAATTTTACTTTCTGATGTTGAGTGGAAGGAACAGCTCTTGCCATGTGAATCCATGGTCTTCCCAAAAGACAACATAGGAAGGAACGATATCGATGACTTGAAAGACTATCAAAAGTACATGGTCCAATTTGGATTGGTAGCTCAATATCACCTATCACTTCATGACGAGTCCCATTAAAAGCCTTCACTATCATATGACTCATTTTCATGTAAGACATGTCAACTGGCAATCTAGATAGTGTAGTAATAGGCATGACATTTAATGAAGATCCATTATCAATTAGCATTTTTTCTAGTGTATGATCCTTGTATCTTGTCGAGATATATAAGGCCTTAGCATCACCTCTGCCACCAGGTGGAATTTCATCATCACTAAATGATATATAATTTCCCACTGTGATATTTCCCACTATGCAATCAAGTTTCTCCATAGATATATTATAAGCTATATAAGCCTCATTGAGTAGTTTGAGCAAAGCCTTTCTATGAGGCTTAGAATTTAACAATAACGAGTGCATAGAAATCCAAGCTGGTAAGTGATTTAATTGCTCCACCACACTATATTCACTGTGCTTAATAAGCTTCAAAAACTCACAAGCCTCTTTTTTTGTAATCGAATTTTTATATTCTCGATCTAAGATTGGGGTTGGGTGAATCTCTTGATCGTTGGGTGATTTATCTTCTTTTTCTAAGCTCATTTCCCTTTCTTTTGCTTTTTCTTTTTGTGCTCTCTCAAGTGCTTTTAGGGTATAGCACTGCCCACTTCGAGTTATGCCCATAATGCCAGTTATATTGGTTGTACTTGCATCACATGAGCCATATTGAAGAGAACCATTATCCAAACCTTGTGATATGATATTACAATCATATTTCCAAGGGACTGCCTTATCTGATTTGTATGGGAATGGGTTAGGGACCTCAATTATCACCTTTGGCATAGTTGTACAAACTGGTTTGTTAATTTCAGCACTCCATTTTTCATCATAAAAGATCGTGACAGGTTCAAAATTCATATGAACTAGCTTATTAACCTTAACACTTGGTTTTTCTTCATAGAAAATTGTAACAGGCTCAAAATTCAGTCGGTAAGGCCTATTTTTAGATGATTCTTCCATCATAACATTCACTGAACTTTCTTCATGTTCTTCATAAAATTCAACCAAGAAAGAATCCATCATTCTCTACAACTCCTATCGAAATGCTTTATAATCTTGAAGCGAATGACCAACCATCCCCATATGGAATTCACAAGTGTGAGATGAATTATATGAGAAATTTCCATCATCTGAGTTTTTTAGGTATTGGATGAATCATATTTACTTTCATAAAGGGTAGCAAATATTTCATCTATAGGGTTCTGATCTCGCTTACCTTTCTTTTAATATTTTGAGTTGTCTCACTATTTAAAGCATTTACTGATCCTCCACCATGATTAGGTAACAGATTGGCCTCTATACTTGATTCGGCCTTAGTTATGAAATTTAAAATTTCATTATCAATCAAGCTTTGCACCCTACATTTGAAAGCAGTACAAATTTCTAGGGAGTGGCCCTGAATTATGTAATGATAGTTACAGAAAGCTTTAGAATCATACCATTTCGAATATGGAGGTTTCAAAGGCTCTATGGGCTGTCGAGCCACCAAGTGTTTTTGGAATAACTGAGGGAATAATTTTGTGTATGTCATAGGAATCAGGTCAAATCGTTGTTGCTCTTGATTATTTCAAGGTTCCTTTTGATTAAAATCTGTGGTATTCACCTGAGGGAAAGGTCGTGATAAAGGTGCTCAAGACCGAACATTGGCTTGGAAAGTAGGTGTCTGGGTTTGCATTGGTTAGTAATGGTTTGGGTCTTGGGAAATATTAGAAATGATTGGGTAAGAAGGTTGGTATACAAGATATGAATGGTATGGGATAAAAAGTCTTGGTTTTGGTTTTTTAGTGGTGATAGATTGCACTTTTGCTTTTTTTTTCTTGGATGGTCCTCCTTTCTTTGATCCAGAAACATCACCTCCCTCAATCTTTTCATTTTTAATGGCAGTTTCTATTATCTCTCTCGTAATCACCGTATTAGCAAAGTTTTTCATGGCATGACCAATGAGCCTGTCATAATATGGTGCTCGAAGAGTATTGATGAATAGAATATTGTTTCTTTCTAGGTGAAAAAAGGTTGAACTTGAATGGCAATATCTCACCATCTCTGGGCATATTCTTGAAAATTTTCATTAACTTTCTTTTCCATGTTTTACGAGGACAATCTATTTGGAGCCAAGTCTGTGACATGCTTGTATTGAGTAATAAATGTTTTGGCCAGATCTTTCAATGAATGAATACAACTCTTGTCTAATTGAATATACCATTTGGCAGCAGATCTAGTAAGACTATCCTAAACATAATGGATAAGCAACTTGTCATTGTTTGTATACCTAGTCATTTTTTGATAGAACATAGTGATATGTGCCTGAAGGCATTTGGTTCTATCATATTTTTCAAATTTTGGTACTTTAAACTTTGGTGGGATTACCAAATCTGAAACCAAACTGAGTTCACTGGCATCAATTGTACCAAAAATATTTACACCTTCAACAGCTCATAGCTTTCTTCCAAGAGATCTAACTTTTGCTGTGCCTTTGTATTCTTAGATTGTTCGAGCATACCTTTCTTTAGTTTTTCCTGTTCTTTTGGGTCATCTAAATCTAAGACCATAATGGGTTCAACATGACTTGCCCCAATATTTAAACCAACATGTCCTTGACAACATGGTTGAACCGTGAGAGAAGGTAAATTAAACTGAGCATGTGACTGCCTTTCAGGCTATGTCATTTATGGATGCATTTGATGAGAGGTTTGAGCATAGGGTGGAGTAAACCCTAGTGGATATAATAGATCTTCCCTATCACTGGTATTTTCTTAGGCTTGAAACTCTTTCTTAGTAGTTACTT